TCTCTGTCTCAAAAATAAATAAACATTAAAAAATTAAAAAAATAAATAAAAAGTACTTATCCTGAAATATAAGATCTTGCATGATTCATTCCATATGTTTCACCTGCAGCAAGCTAATTGTTTTTCTCCAAACATTCCATGCTCCCTTGCAAGTCATGTACACACATCATTCTCACTCCTTATAACTGTTGGTCCCTCTCTTCTTCATTTGATTAATTGTATTCATCCATTAAGATGGGCTTAGATATCACTTCTACCAGTGTTTCCTGACTCGGGGGGTTCGGTGTGTCAAATCATTTACACTATGTGCATTTTTAAAATGAAGAGTTTTAATTCAAGACATATATGTCAACTAAAAAATGAAAATAAATATTAAACAGAACTTCCAAGATTTCTGGGACAATATCAGAAGATCTAACATTCATGTCATTAAAGGCCCAGAGGGGGCAGAAAGGAGATTCATGCAGAAAGTAACTTTAGAAATATTCATTGCTGCAAATCTCCCCAAATTTAATCAAAGACATAAATTTACAGATGCAAGAACTCTGTGAACTCCAAACTGTATAAACTTAAAGAAAATCACTCCTAGACAGATAATAAAACTGCTCAACATGAATAAAGAAAAATCTTGAAAGCCGCTGGGAAAAAATGGCACATAATGTATATGATAACAATAATTTGAAACAGAGTGGATTTCTCATCAGAAACCATGGAGGGTAGAAGACAAAGAAATGTCTTTAAATTGCTGAAAAAGTGGGGTGTCTGGCTGGCTCAGTCAGTAGAGCATGTGACTTGATCTCGGGGTCGTGAGTTTGAGCCCCCATTAGGGGTAGTTTACTTGAAAAAAAAATAATAAATTGTTGAAAGAAAGAGATGACTAACTAGAATTCTATATCCAGTGAAAATATCCTTCAAGAATGAAGGCAAAATAAATTCACTCCTAGATGAAGAAAAATAAAGAGAATCTGAAAACAGGTCTCAAAGAAATACTGAAGGAAGTTCTTCAGGCTGAACATAAATGATACTGGGGAGAATCTTGGAACTTTAGGAATAAAGAGAAATAGAAATGTCAAACATAAATTACTATTTTCCTCCTCTTAAGTTTTTAAAAATGTGCATGACCATTGGAAGCCAAAAAAAAATTATAACTTTGTCAGGAGGAGTTTCTAATGTATTTAGATATGCTACCTATGAAACTTTAAAGGATCGGTCATGGGGTGAAGTGATTGTAAGGCTTTACTTCTTAAAAATGTATTTACAGCAAAAGTCAGTTGAGTTTTTGAAAAATGCACATAGTCGTGGAACCAACATGATGGTCAAGATACAGAGTAATTTGGAAACAATAAATATGGGCATTGTTCCCCAAAGTTCCCTCAGGCCACTTTGTATTCCTTTTCCTTCTTCCCATCCCATTTCCCCAGGCAACAAATGATCAGTTTTATGTTGCTAGAGAGCAGTTTGCATTTTCAAGATTTTTTTTAAATGTTTATTTTTCTTGAGGTGGGGGGAAGGGGCAGAGAAAGAGAGAGAGAGAGAGAGAGAGAGAGAATCCCAAGCAGGTTCCATGCTCAGCACGGAGCCCAATACGGCGCTCCATCCCATGACCCTAGGATTATGACCAGAGCCAACATCAAGAGTCAGATGCTTAACCACCTGAGCCATCCAGGTGCCCCTTGCATTTTCAAGATTTTATATGAATAGAATCAGGCAGGTTGCATCCTCTTGTTCTGGCTTCTTTTACTCGGCGTAATTATTTTGAGATGCACTTGTGTTGTCGTTATCCCACACCTATCAGTGTGTATTATTGCATTGGGTTCCTTTTGGGAAAACCAAGTCTACTGACAAACTCTATGTGTGCATGTGTAAGTACATATGCGCACACGTAAATGAGAGAGGTAAAGATGCCAAGAGAGAAACATTTTGTATGCTAGCTGGACACTTCTTGGTACAGTCTTGTGGATATACCGCTGGTATTGTAAGTGTAGGGAAGATATTTCCACTTTCTGTGGGACAGCATATCTTCCCAGAAAGGGTCAAGGTCTACGAGTCAATAGATGTGATTGCCTAAGAATCATGACATGATTACTGACCGAACAACCTTGAGTAAGGCAGTGAACCTCTCGGTGGCTTCGATTCCTTATTCTTGAAAACAAACTAACAAACAAAATGGGAATAACAACAGCACTTCAGTATAGTTGTCATGGGCATTAAAATGAGATGTGAAGAATACAGATGTGAAGAATATGGAGCCTGACACATCGCAAAAAATCAAAAAGTGTTGGTTCCTTTTCTGTTCTACCTTTTAGTTGGGGGAGAAACATTCTCATTCTGAAAAAAAAAAATGTAATAGCTTCTTTGAGCTTAATTGTAATATCATAGTGCCATCTGTTGACCATAGAGAACTATTACATTACTCGTACAGTACAGCTCATTTCTGACAAAGCTCTACCGCATCTGAATACCCGTATTTAAAAGTTCGTCTCTACTGTGTTCTGGGCTAGTGCTGTAGCGACGGGTTAAGGACTGTTCTGCTGAGCTTGCAGACCCCTCCCCTGCCTAGGTATCCTTGCCTGTCAAGAGGCAAAGATAAAGAAAAAAGGGGAGCTTCCGCGTACCACCCCCCTCCAGATGGGCAGATGAGATATTGAGGGTGGAAGCGAGTGAGTGATGTCTTCACATCCATTTGGCTCTAAAGGAGATGCGGGGAGGAAGGCTTTGCTATTTTCTCCTGTGGGGAGGTCTGCCCTTGCAAGATATGGCCACTGTCGCTTTGGCCTTGGGTTCGATCTTGTAGGGGCTTCAAAATCGTGTAACCCCCCAATACCACTCAAATATCCCTGAATGTGGACTAGAAGAGGGCCCCTCTCCATTCTCTTCTCCCAACCTCCCCGTCCCCCACCTGGATAAAGGACTGCACCATCAGAACGTGGCTAAGGCCTCTGCACAAACTCCCCTCTCCCCACTCCCAGTTCTAGCGGCTCCAAAACAAGTCTCAAGAGATGGTCACTCTTGCCATCTCTCCCATCCCATCGAATCAAGCCAAGACTGGTCGGTTTATTGAATGACCAGTTTATTGAATGGTTTATTGAACTTTATTGTGGTTTGGATTATGTAAGGCAGTGTGGTGAAGGCACTGCAGAAGTTACACAGACTGAAAAACATGGTAGGAAATCAGTGAACTAAAAAAAAAAAAAAAAAAAAAAAAAAACCCTACAAAATATATTTTTAAATGAATGCGTGCTGGACTAGACTAAGTACTACAGCTATGTTTTTTCTTCATCATTGCGGAAGCGTTGAAATATTGTCAGAGGTGGGGGTTGGGAGGAGTTAGGGAAGGCTTCGTGGAGGAGGTGGCATTTATGCTGGACCTTGAAGGAGGGGTAGAACGTTGATAGATGAGATGGGGGGAAGAACAGTTCAGAATGACTGACCCTAGAGAGAATTCTGTAGAAACACTGAAAAACAAGAGGGCAAACAAATGCCCCCGGGGAGGGAAGCTTCCCAAATGAAAGAAACGCCTGAGGGGCCTGGGATGGGACCCAGAATCTCAAGCCCCCAGATGGGGTCTTCAGTACCAATGATATTAGGAGGCACAGGACAACAGGCTTGTTTGTAAACCTAGCAGCAGCAGGAGATTTCACATTGCAGTCAGGGGCCCCAAACTGGCTATCCTATGCCCGGGTGGGTTTTCTCATCCTTTCGGGAGCGTGTGGTACTGCTTTGTCCTTCCTCGTGCCCACTGACTGCCTGAACGGTAGTTCGTGCGCGCCTACGTGCGCGTGTGTGAGTGTAGGTGTGTGTGGATGGGTGGGGGACCGAGGCTTCGTCTCCCACTGCAGCTTCTTCCACTTTTCCCTCTTGTGGCACACAGCTGGCTTCCACTGAGCTGGAGCTCAGGCCCTGCCCACTATCTAGGCCTCACTCAACTCCAGCTCGTCATTAAGCACCTAGGAAGCTTCCTCAACATGAAGGTCAAACCTACTGCGTATGGTGATCGGGTGAGGGCAGGACTACACTTTCCGGAGGTGGTGACGGAGGCGGCAATGGTGCTCGTGGTGATAAAGGCTGGGGACTTAAAAGCGGGTGCTGGCCGCTGGGTCGGATGCTGCTGGGAGGTCTGTAGTGTTCAGTCAGGAGCTGGGATGTCAGGCTAGACCGGCTTGGCCTTGATCACCCCTCCTTCCTTCCTCAACACGCCCTACAGGGAAGATAACGCTGGGCACCCGAAAGCAGCGAAGACATCTGTAGGGTATCCAGGCTCTTGTTGTCCTGCTTGAATTTCACCCCCGGAAGCCCCGGAGATCTTTTGTTGGCAAACATCTGTATGACCTCCACATAGAACTGTCACCTCCCCCTGTCCAGCTGCTGGAGGTATATAGGTTATGTAGCTAGTGATGCTACTTGGATTGGGAGGTATGGGGAACTTATGAGAAGAAAGGAAAAGTTAGTTACTGTGAGTTTCTTTCTTTCAAAGGATTATGAATTAGGTAAGACCTGGCATCTGACAGAAAAGAAAAGGATGGACAGCTCTGTCAGGATTCGCTAGAGCTGAAGATTTAGAGCTCAGTGAGATCATCGCTGGAAATAACCTTGAAGCTGATGTGGCCCTGCTTGACTTTGGCAGTCGGGCCGCCTTTCTTGCGCAGGTACAGAGACTTCAGATCACGGCAGTCACTGGGGTCAGCATCTAGAGTAACCTGCCCCAGGAACTGATCACAGAATTTTCGGCTGTTCCACACCTGGAGAGACGATTTGAAAGAGTGAATATGAGCCACCCTCTGCGAGACTGGACTTTGCCCCGTGGCACCTAGAACCCAGTGCAGAACTTGGAAAGGTCTGTTTTAAAACCAAGAGACTATCTTTCCTGATATGTCTCTGGCTGACAGGAAGATACCGCACAGAGTAGAGATGAAAAGCCAGCCAGCAGGGCTCAAGGGACGCCGCGAGCTAGGAGACGGCTATGTAAAGGCGGACGGGCAGAAGCATCAAGTCAGAAAAACAGCCAAACCGTAGCGGTCCGTCCTGACCTATCCCTGGTCAGGATAAGGGTCATCTGAACTGGCATATGGTGCTCGTGGGATTTTAAAGTGCCTGTCGACATGTGTACCTGTGAGCATGTGGACTTCTGCCCACAAGGAAGTGAGGATAACCCTTGCTCTGTATCCTAGATAGTTGAGGCACTGGGGATAATCTAGAATCCCGTACGGAATGTGAGCCATCCTGGGGGGGGGGGGGGGGGGGGGCCCGTTCACATTCTTACCTGCACTATAATAGGAATGTCAGTGGTCCTTCTGTAGAAAATGGCCTGGGTGTCAAAAATGGCATGAACGGTATTCTTTTGGACGGGAGAACGGACTTCCTCCTTTCCACACTTGATGATCAAATATGGATTTACAGCTGGAAAAAGTGGCAGTTGCCTTTTAACAGAGTCGTTAAAGTTTTCTTTCTAGGTAGTCAAGAAAGTATTTCACTAGGACTTGTAGCATAGCATCTGGGTATCAGAATGACCTAGAACTTTTGCTCCTGATTCCCTTTTCTTTTCCATACTTTATGAAAGGGAGCATTGTGTAGACCTTGCCCAAAGAAGTTTACATCCCTTTCTCTGTCAAGGTTGACAGCCCTCCGGACTTCTCTAGACTGAATACCGCCGGAGACAATCATTTGCGACCATCTTTTCTAGCCATACATGCAATAAATGCAACCGAAGTTTGCTTCCCCAGACACCTCTGCCGTTCTTACTTTCATTGGCATACTTCTTCTCCAGGCCCTCAGCGCTGTGAACAGTGATCTGGGTAACCACCTTCGGGTAGCCACGAGCCAGGTTCCAGCAGGACATCTTGGGCATGTCCAGAGTCAGTTCCCTGGAACATCAAAAAGAAGATACGCCACTGATGATGAAGGCCCTCTGATGAGGAGACAGGCCTGCCAAAGCAGACATTGTTGCTGAAAGGCATGGAATGCTGAGTGACCCAGCCCATTCCTCCTCAGGCATAGCTTATATTTTATGAGTCTGTTTTGCTTTCCCCTCACTTTAAGGACCAGCAGATAAAGATCAGAGTAGGCATGGCTGGGGTGAAAAGGTAGCTTTGGTGACCCAGCACTCGGAACACAGCACAGGAGCAGTGAGGAGTGCCAGCTGTTCTAGAGAATATAGAGTCAGCCGGAGAACGGAAGATAAGATATAAGTGGAAAAGCTTAGGTTAGAGGCCTGTTGCCCTTAAATGGCAGCTCAGACCTCTCCTAAGGAATTTTTCATGGTTGTGAAAATAACCATTTTGAGAAATATTTCTACCGCCATCATTTCAGTGAAGTCTGACATGAACAAGTTGTCCTTTTGTGTGTCTGTACAGGAGGAGCAGGGTCAAGGAGGTTAGGATTGGAGGTAAAGCAGAAAATAGGAGTTTGCAGGGCTGGCCAAGGAAGCTGAACCTGAGCTGGACGGGCACTTCAGAGAAGATTCTCAGGAGAAACTCGCTGGTGCGGCCATGTTGGAACATGGTGGGGACAAGCACATAGTTGCCTTTCTTCAGGTACTTGCTCAGAAACACAGTGCGAGTGTCGATATAGGTGGAAGTCCCAGCACGCTCCTGGATGTACAGATGGTGGAGGCGGAATTTGCGGTTCATTTCCACCTGGAAATGAAACGGGATGAAAGGCTCCATTCTGCTCAGATCACAGTGTTTGTGTTAGGAGATCCTAGGTCCTCTGCTTTCCTTATCCTTGCACCTACCTTCAGTCCCCTAACTGCAGGCCATCCTAATTTCGACTCTGGTTGCCATCATTCTCTCTGCTTCTAATGCCCATTCTTACCTTGAAGAGCTCAAAGCCAATGATGTAGTTGTCAGGTCTTCCCATGCGGCGGTAAGTACGCAGGTCCTTCTGCTGCAGTGACATGATGACCTTGTGCCCATCCTCGGGCACAGTAAAGATGTACTAAAGGAAAGAGGCCACCAAGGAGCTTAGTTAGCACTTTCATTTCAGATGAGCCGGCTCAGATTTCAGGGAAGAAAACTCTACACCGAGAAGTCGAGACTGGCGTGATTTTCTGGACTTTGCCATTGACCAGACAATGAGGCCTTGGATAATCCATAGACGTGCTAAGTGTAGGTCATATCTTTGGTCCTCCCTATGACATTCAGCATGGATTGAGAGACAACTTCATGCCTAGATCTTTGATGCCAAAGAAGGTATGCTTTGTCTTGATAAGTTCTCGGTAAGATCTTAGGCTTTTTTGTTTTGTTTTGTTTTGTTTTGCCCTTTGCTTTTAACAACTGCACACAGGAAAGTTCCAGAATCTATAAAGGCAAAAAGCACTTTTGTGTGACTTAACCTGACACTATAGCCACTCCCTTCAGCTAGCCTCCTATAGCTAGCCCAGATGTGTGGCTTGTGGAGGGGCTGGATCCACTCCCTTAGAGAGGTGATGCTTTGCAACCACCCCTCCAGGGAAGGCTGCAGACCTGTGCTAGAGACTTTGAAACCTCATCTGAGGGACCCATGGTGCCATTGGGAAGTAAAATTAAAAGGCATTTGAATGTTCACTCTGTCGCTGTCTTGGTGTTTCTTTCTGTCTCTGTCTATCTCCCACTCAGATCTTGTTGCTCCCTCCCTTTCACAAGAAACAGACAATAAATTCAGAGCCAGAGGCTCACAAGGACCCTGAAGATCAATCCTGTGCACTGCGCAGACAGTTAAGAGTGAAGCCGAAAGCCCATTTCTCCAGCTTGCTGTATGTGCCCGATATTTGAAACATCTCCGGGGTTGTACATGGAGATGAGGTAGAGGGCAATGGGAGCTTTCTTTTCTTTAAGGACAATCAAGATGAAAGGAATGGGGAAATATACATGAGTTAAGTAAATCAGTCTATTAATCTAGTGTTCTTCAAATTGCGTGGCCAATGAGGCCCATGGAAAGAAAAGACACACCCATGTAAGGTGGCAATACAGTCAGAATTCTTGTCTCCTGTGGGTTACCTCTTCAGCACGTTATGGGGTAAAACCATCAAGATTACTATAGATTCAGGCTTTGGATGTTAGGATTTTTTGCTTTGGGGCGTGCCTGGGCTTGAGTCCTAACGTATCCTCTGGAAGAGCATTGTAACAGAAGATTGATGGGATGGCCTCACTGACAGGGTAGTGATTCAAATCCTGGGCAAAATGACCAGGTTCTGGCTGAGAAAAGGGAAATATAACGATGGCATTCAGAAGAATCACTGCATGAGAAAGGAGACACGTATAGTAAATCCACCCCCAAGAGAACAGTTGCGCAATAAGGAAATGAAAAAGGATTGAGAAAGCGTCCGGGAGCAGATCCTTTGTGTCCAATGAGGGACAATCACAAAAATCCATACTAAGCAGTGCGGCCAGGAGAGCGGCAGTCAGAGAAGACTGCTCAGATTGAATAATGTTGCTGCAAATTGAAGAATTCATGTCAAAGAAATACTCCGAGGTGAGACCTGAGTTCCTATTGCCTTGCTAAGTTGGAGGCAAAGGAAAAAAAAAAAAATGGATTCACACCTGGGGATTCTGCAGGAAGGTATCACGGTTGTTATAGCAGCCTCCTGACCGGTTCATCAGGGGATCATCATCCACAGTCCAGCATCCCACCACCGATTCCAGCGCCTTGCGGCCAAAAATAGGGTTGTTCACATTGCGGCAGACATTCAGCTCATGAAAGTTGCGGCAAAAGTCCTCCAGGCTCATCCTGAATGGAAGGAAGGCAGGAAAGAAATGAAGATGGTACTTAATACCTCCCCTTGTAGTTCCATGTGGAGACCCAATTCCCTTAGCACAGAAAACCCCTCCTCACCAAAACTCTCCATCATCAGACATAACAAGCCCCAGGTTCTTGCGATCGGCCACAGTCAGTTGCTGCCACTCTTCAGAGCTAGAGGCAAATGAGCAAAGGGATGAGCCATCATTTTTGCCATTGACTTCGTACAGTAAACAGGATGCTAATGGACCAGAATGCATGGGGATCGGACCTGCTTTATTTCACCTCCGGCTGGGTCACAGACCCCACAAATGTCACTAAGCATTGACAGCACACTAGCAGTATGGAGGGATGGGGCGCGAGGACAAACTGTAGGGCTTTGGAGATGTGGCAGTCCAAGGGAAATGTCACTCACATTTCACTCCAGGGGCCGCTCCATTCCTGCCGTCCCAAGGGGTTCCTCAGGCGAACCATATACAGTTTCTCAGTACTGAAGACTTCCACCAGTCTCTCCCCAAGACGGATCTTACGAATGTCAGTCATGGTGTAAGTATGGCCCTTCAGTAGGCCCCAGTCAGTTTCAACTTCTTGTTCTTCCTGATTGGGAGACTGAGAGCCAAGAAAGATACATAAGGCCACAAGAATTGGGAGACCCAAGGCCTGGCTCCTTCTCTTCCTTGATTGGTTTACCCCAGCGGGGTTAAAGCTAGTTCTCCCTATGTGGATAGAAATTTTATCCAGATATCTTGACTTGGCACAAAGCAAGTGAAAGAAAGGAAATACAGAATTTAATATAACAACTCAGTTAAGCAATTCAGATTGAAAGTACCCACAGTGGTACATTGACATGAGCAGCTTTAAATTTTGGTGGGGCTGGTTTATTCCATGAGCAAACAGCTATAACCTCACCTGCAGGGGCAGAGGCAGAAGGAAGAATTTAGCAGAGGCTATTTACACCAGCTCAGAAGCTGCATTGGCCCCCAGTGGGATGGTTGGTGCAAAAGCATAAAAGGTTAAAGCTGTACGGTCTCTGCTCCAGGACTCAAAGTGTACTGTTAATTTTCTGAGTTCTGCAATGTCTTTTCCTGAGTCTCGGGGGTAAGGGTGACATTTCCTACTCAGTTTTGTAGAGTGAGCAAAGAATGGTTGTTTTGGGGTGACAACAAACCTCAATGGAGCAACAGATCAGTCCTCCTTTGGTAAATGTTTTGTAAAGTTCCCCAAACAGCTTATACTTCTCCTCAACAAGCTCAGTGTATCTTCCCTTCTGCATGTCAACAGTTTCAGCCAACGTGCCAGTAAAGTCCACAATGATATCAGTGGTGGTCAGACCATCGAGGGCTTCATAACAACCAAGCAGCCTGGGGGCAAATACGCAAGGTTATCTTTGTAAATTTACTTTTCCACGTGAAGGGTATCTTGTTCCCAAGAATTAGAACAGTCCCTGCCCAGCCAGCCTTTACCAGCTGGCTTTTCTCTAGGTATGAAAATGAGAGGTATTTTGAGATTATAGGCAGCGATTTCTAGGCTTAGGCTGGGTTGAACAAGGACAGTCCACGAAGAAACTTCTTTCTCCAGGTAAATATTAGAGAAGGAGAGAATTTGAGGCTACAATGCCATCTGATCTGCAGAATAGCCGCAGGAAGGGGCACCTAGGAGCAGGGAGGGTTTTTAATGGAAACCAGCACAGCTCATTTGTCTATCATCCAGGATTTCTGAGAGCCAGTCCCATGCCCAAAGCAATGCCCTGGATCTGACTGATGTCCTGCCCAGTGTAAACTCAGGGGCTGGGCTGGCAGAGCATGAGCTCCCAAGGACAAATGTGGCGTTCCTCTCCTCGTGTGCCCTGAGTGGTCAACCCCCTCCTTACTTTGCATAAGCCTTTTCCAGTAGAGCATTCCAAAACTCATTCATGGAAGTGGAGAAGGAGAAAACCAGATCCCCATTGATGGTGGGCAACAGGTCATCAATCACCACCTCAGTCCATTCTCCGAAATGCCAGAAACGAAAGTGAAATATTCCAGCATATTTATCTAGTTTCCGAGGGTCCCATTCCTGCTCCTTATGGTTGGGAATTGTCTGGAAACATAAAAACATTCATACAACTCTTATTCACCACACGATATCCAACAACTGAGATTGCAGTTGACTTCTGGCAAATGTATATGGCAACAGGAAGCACATCAAATACATTGGGTTTGGGTCTAGGTTGGAAGGTCCAAGGTTGGGCATTTTTTCCCACAGCTTTCGCTTCCCTAGTTCAGTTTTGCCGAGGATAGCGTTACCATGCCTGAATGCACACAGGATAACTGGGGGGAGCCAGGTAGGGGTTGAATTGTTTCCCATAGATAATCTCAAACTCGATCATGAGATACTGTCCACACAAACATATTCACAGTGGCATGTTTAACCACCTAAAAGACAAAATCAATGAAACTACAAGGCCCAGTGTTTAAAGGCCCATCCTAGAGACTTCATGCAGATTCTATCGAATACAGATTTTATTCACACCTTGAATAAAATTATCTTTAGGAAATTCTCTTTTTTATATGCAATTACAAATTACTCTTCTAAAATTATTTTTTTTGAAGAAAAATCAAGTCAACACTCCACTGTCTTCAACTCTACCTAAATGCCAAAGGAATTTTTGTATTCGATAATTTATTAGAACTGTTTCAAGGAACTATTTCCATCTTTCTTGTCTTTTCTGTTACCCATATCTGTGATCTCCTGGCCCCTGCTGGTACTCTATAACTCCATTTGGTACAGAGAAGACAAGTGTGCAGAGCTACTAAGTCAAAGTACTGCCAGTGACAGAAGATCAACTCTTGTGTGACAAAACCAAAAGAGCAATTTTAATGGTAAGAATCTAGGTGAGTATAGAGGCAGTCACTGTAAAATTTGTTCAATTTCCTGTATTTATAAAAAACCCTAAGAATAAATGGAGAGAAGTCATGTAGTTAATATCTTCAACTTCAGGAATTGAACAATCTAAAAAACTTATGACCTGATGTTTCCCCAAATTACTAAAGAAGACAAGAAGGTGGGAACTGAGTGAAGTCTCACAAGAGGTGGGGATACCTTTGTCCAGTGAGACTCCTGAACAGCCAAACAGGAAAACGCAGAGACCATCGGCTTGTGCCCCAGTCTCCCTTGGATTAGCTGGTGGTTGCTGATGTTGCCCACAATCAGACGGGGGTCATCACAGATGTCCTGTGGATAAAATCATTGGTTCTGAGAATGTGGAAAGGGTTTCCCGAGGGTCAATGTGAGCTGAGGGAGGCAGGACAGACTTCAAAGAAGAGCTTGGGTTAAAGATAGTGACTAGGATTTCCATTAGTGGGATAAAGTTAAGGTCGGCACGGGACTAAGCGTGGTGAGGAAAAGTCCAAAGCAGATCATCTAGCCACAGGAAAAGGGTTATGTGGGGAATCACAGGAGAAATGGGAGGAGGGGACACGTGGAGACAGGTTGAGATGTGCTGGCCGGGACCCTCAGAGCTAGCATTGAAATTTGGAAGAGTTTTCACTCTAGCAGGGAGCTTCTGAATGGAACTAGAGATTAGCACATTGCATTCTGCTCCCATTTGTCAGGATGAAATTTCCTGAAGCACCTGTTCTCCCTCTCTGGGAAAATGAATTAGGAGACCTTACACAGAAAGCCCTCTCCCAACGTAAAGCGAAGGCAACAGCAGTCTCCATGGCAACTAGATTTTTCCACGTCTGTGGGAAAAGAGCGTCTGCTGGAGTGTTCCTGTGAGGATGTTCTGAGGGAAGCTAGACAGAGTGGGGGAAACATTTGTTTGGGGTGTATGTGTGTCTCTTTCCCCAACATGTCAACAGCTGTGCCTTTCCCACTGTGAGTGGGAAAATGAGACCCAAATACGACAACTACAACACAACGTCTGAGGGCACATCAGAATTATCTGCAAAGTATAATCAGTGTCTAAAGGAAAGATCCCCAATGTTTCCCTGGTGGTAAACAGAATAGATTGAATAGCAGTGGCAACACTCGAGATGAAGCTTTGGGGATGACTAGCGTTAGGTAGTTGGACAAGGGAGAGGTATGGAGGCATAATGAATAGAGAGACCAGCATAGACAAAGGCATAGCCGCATACATAACATCGTATAATTGAAGACATGATTGTGTGACTCAGAGAATCAGCACTTGCAGAGTTCAAAGGCAGGAAATACCAATGAAGTCTTGAGTAGCTGGAGAAAGCTTCGTGGAGGAGGCCGTTGGCCGGTACCTTGACATTCTGCTTACCCAGCAGAAATAAATCCTCGTCTCAAATGGAAAGAAAATCTAGACATACATCCTTTTAAAATTTATTAAATAGAGACAGCTATATTTTTCTGTTTCTCAAACCTCTTTTTTAAATGGACATAATTCTCCTTGATGAAGGGTCTGGTCTACAGAATGAAACATTCCATATATTCTTTAAAAGCCAAAATAACTCTGGAAAGGAATAAGCATTCTAGGCAGGGACAAATCCAAACTGAAGATTAATTGGGCATCCCTCTGCCAAAAGGAGAGGGTTAGGTGGGTTTTCAGTTTTGGATTTTCTGGTCACTTTTTTTTTAGACACATACCTAGTGTCTCATCATTACTTTTTTGTCTTAGAAGACTTCTATCTTAATATTTTTTTATGGGGTGGAGGTTGGCTGTTTTTTCACTTATTGAGAATAAAGCAGGTGTGTTGGGTATTGAATTAGGCCCTGATACTCTTTCTCTCCTAATTGTCTCTTTGCCCTTTCTAAGATGAAACTAAACACAGTTTTCTTTTGTGGGTCAAGTGTTACCATTTGATTTGGAGCAAGACATCAAGTTATCCAATGATTTCTTGAGTTTAGATGACACATAGAATTGTTGCTTAGCATGGAAAAACAATAAAGTGAACACTGACATAAGGAAAAGTGTCCTTTTAGATTATTAAGGCAAATGATCTGCTGGTTTTATGTAAAGTTATTAGTGGTTGGAGTTACATTACAGTGTCTTGGATTTCCATAAGGCTCTCATTTCACAGCAGGGATCCAGGCTCAGCCAACACTTTTGGCATGCCAACTTTTATTCAAGATCTAAAGGGTCACGTAAATGAACAAATACATGTAAACAGAACTCAAATTGAGGAACTGGGTAATTATTCTCCTATAGATCTAAGCTGAGTGTGGTCATTGTGTGTGTGTGTGTGTGTGTGTGTGTGTGTGTGTGTGTGGCTGTATGTAATCACAAAAGAATATACATTTGGGCCCAAGATTCTGTATCTTCTATTTCCTCTTATAAACTGGCCCACGTTTTACTTCACCACTGTTCATACATGATGGATAGCCATTTAACAATGGGTTTTAAAACCTGATAAATTAACAGGCCATTGACTGTCAAAGCTGAAAGAAATTTTAGGGACTATTTATTCAATTTGCTTATTTTACAAAGGAGAAAACAGGCTCAGAGAAAGGCAGCAACTTGCCCCCCACCGGGTGTGCAGCTAGTTTAGTAGGAGACCTAGGATTAAAGTTTTAGGTTCTTCGAAAGCACGTATAATTTGAGAAGGAAACTCAAGACCTCAGCTGGCCCATCCATTTGCCTTTAGGTTAATGGATGTCCACCACAAAAAAGGTAATGTTGTGCAGCTCTTCAGGGACAGAGCTGCAACCACCTGTATCAGTCATCCATCCCAGTGTTTCATGCCTCTTTCCTTAACGCTCATCTAAAAGCTCTTCGTTGTTCTGGAAGACTTGCTTAAGTTATATCTTAGCTTTTGGTTCCAGGCTAAATATCACCAACGGGCTTTAAACTCCTCAATTTAATCAACTAAATGTGAACCAATCTCTTATGTGTGTCAGCACCGTGATATGAAACATGGGTGAAAAATCTTTATTATGCCACATCCTCTACCTTTTTAAGGAAGTCAGAGACTAGAAAGGGGCTAAAGAGGTAAAAAGGGTAAAGGGTAACAAGCCACTGCAAGTCAAAGAGCCAAACGGACTTTTTGGCGACACACTTGAAAATAATGAAGTGGCTGCTGATTGACTTTTCCCATAGTTTTGGACAACAGGGTGTCTTCCTGTTGGGAGTAGGGAAGTAAGGCTGGAGAAAATTTTCTGTAGCTCAGAGCACAAATATAGAGTACAGATGGGACATTTCAGCCTGAGCTCTGCTAGAGTGGTAAGGAATGGAGTTGGGGAGAGGTCACGGCTCACATATTCACATATTTGGGTGGCTTGAGAGGGAGGGGAGATGCTGGGCCCCTAATGGCTCCCAGCTGTGTTGGCACAGTTGCTGTGATCCTTGAACTGGGCTGTTTGTCAAGGCAAAATAATTTCTTAGGGGGAAACACACACAACTAGGAAGTTGGACACCAAGAGTAAAGCCAGGAATGGTCTCTGCCTATCCCCATCCCTGCGCCAAAGCCTTCCATAAGCAAAACAGCTTCTCCAGGAAATATGTTCTCTTAGCTGAGCCCTGAGAGAACTTCCCATTGCTCTTAGCTCATGTCCCTTCACATAGACCTCTGGAAGATTGGGGGAAGGGAGACATACAATTACAAGCCTTGGAGCCCTACACACATCATTCTATGTGACTCCCTTTGCACCCACAGCATCCACATCTTTCGCAATTTTTTTACACAGGTGAAAATTGATGTCCCAGGCAAACCTCAAGAACCACAGCAAAATGAAAGGATGCCTAGAAAACCAGCAACCAGAAAAGTGGAGGCGTTTTCCAGAGTACTCCATGAAGTCTTGGAGTACTGATGGGATGGGGGCATGGACAGCTACAAGTGAGGCCGGCCCTGCAGTCGATACATTATGACTAAAGTCCAGCACTCTAAGTGGTTCTAGAAGGCTCAGGGCTGCCGTAGAAACTGAAGAACCATCTCCAAGCGGGGCATTTGTAGGTAGACCTGGACTTGGGGACCAATGTTGGACGAGGCTCTCAAGGAGTCCACTTTACCTGCTGGAGAACTTTACTTTTGTGTGAAGATTTTGTCATCAGTAAAATATTCACTTCCTTCCTAACCCCTCTGAGGGAAATTCAGTATGAAGTCTGAGAATTAAGATCTTCAGCCTACCTTTCACTTCCAACCTACGCAACCAAGTCACTGCCTAGTTATCTTCTTACTTGAACCTTCATAGTTCTGGTAGAAGACTCCAGATATAAATCTCAAACTGCTTTATTGGGAAGAATTCACATATCCGTGCAATGGACTTCTGTATAGCCACAGAAGGGACAAATTGATTACCTGCTGCCACATGAATGACCCTTGAAAATGTTATGCAAAACAAGAGAAACCAGCTATTTTTATGATTCTGTCTTAAGTCAAATGTCTAGAATTGGGTGAATCTAGATAGAAACTAAAAGGAGATTATTGACTACCTTTAATGGAGGGGGGGAAGTTTGCTCATTGCAAATGTGTACGAAGGGTCTTATTGGGATGATGTGTCTGTGCTAAAACTGGATTGTGGTGATGTCTTCACAACTTTGTGAATTTACTAAAAATCACTGCATCGTACAATTAGAGCAGGTAAATTTTATAGTATATAAATTGTACTTTGATAAAGCTGTTGAAACGGGGAATTTAAAATAAACAGGAAAGTAAAGTAAACAGTAAAGAGAATGGGCCGATTCAACTCTCTTCAACTGTGTCAACAGTGGAAAACATTAGGACTAATCAGGTTGGGGGACATGATCTCTGGGAAGAACAATAAATTTTTGAACAGCCTAGGCTGAAACTACTGTATAGAGGTGTCACATTCAGTGGGAAGCTGGAAACTTCTATTAGCACCGAGAAAAGTATTTCCTCTTTACTGTTTCCTCACAGGCAATCCATCACCAAGGCCTGTGTATTCTTCTAATATCTTCCCTTCATCAAACTTTCCTTTCCATTCCTACCACTTTGGCTTTTATCCAGAACCCCGTCACCCTCCTCCCATCCAGTGTAGTGAAATGGCCCTTGGGGAGGGTATTCCTAGTGGAAGGACCTGGGCAATGGTAATGGTAGTAGATACCAAACTCAAAACTCTACCAGAGCTGACAGGAGATCTTGTGCAGGTGCCCTCACTTCCCCCACAGCTGGCTGTGCAAACCCCCATGAGGGCTTGCTCCACTTTAGTCAGGGATTAGATGTGTCTGACTCTAAGACACTATTGTAGCTGGGTATGAGTCAGTCAGGAAAAAAGCCAGAGGCGGATAGGAGGGGAGAGTGGCTGGAGAGAGCTGGAGAAGAGATTTTTTATGGGAATTTGGCGGCCAGATTTCAGCCTCAAAATTTTACCTGAAGCCTTGCGATCGGTATAAGCCTCTAAGTCAGTATAAGTCAGTAAAACTTAGAATTTACTGAGACTATATACGTTGACACGCCAGAAGGGCAGGAAAGTTCAGGAGTACTTGTCTCAAGCAATATACCGTTGTACCCCAGGAAGCTAGGACAATAGCTGCAGCCATTGGGCCAATGAAGGACTTAAGGAGAAGGATTTTTCTATGGAGGGTACAGGCAGATGAGCTGGCCCTGAATAACTGCAAAACATTCCCATAATCCCCGTCTATCTGAAGTGGCTCCTTAGGGCACAGCAAGGAAGTGGCAAGTGGGAAGAAGGGGAACTCAATCCTACCCTGGGATACTGGGAGCTTGGCTGAAGTCATTTTGGTTCAACTAGCAGTGGAGTTTGCAGGCATGAAGGCTGATAAAGGCAGAAGCTTTTCAGCATGGGAAAGGAAAGCAACAGAAAACTATCAGGTTAACCACGCTTCTTCCATTTGAAAGACTTCAGAAAATAAAGCCTGGTTGAGGATGAGGCTGTGTGGCATGCCAAGGGACAAGATGTCTGAAAGCTTCCTTGCAAACCAGGATCTCAACCTTGCCAATGAAGCGGGTGAGGCCAACGACCCATCTGGTCTTCCTGAGCCAACTCAGAGAGGCCCAGGGCTGTCTCTCAGCTTTCCTGATGGGAGGCCAGAGAACTTTGACGTGGTTCTTGACCACAGGCTTGGCCTCCACTCTGGCTGGAAAGGAATCCACAGCTTTTTGAGGAGGCTCAGACGGTGGTCCAGAACCTTGTTTTTCCCTTACTTCCCACAGGAGGCCCCTTCCCCAACCATTCCAATCTATGCGGATCTTCCCCTTCTTCAAAACCCTATAGGATTTACTGTCTGTATGCCTGAAAATAGCATGTCTTATATCGGGCATTAATTTATTATTTAACTCTTTGATAGCTCAATATCCATCTCTCCAGCTGGAATGGGAGTGCCTCACCCCAGGCTGTGTCCGTAAATTGCCCAGAGGCTGAACAGAGTAGGTCAATAAATGTTTCTCAAGACTCTCCCTTTGGGCTGAAGACTAAACACACAGTGTGCTCTCAAAAGGGAGAGTATGGATCAGTTAACTGATCATATTAGTCAATTAATTGGCATCAACCCAATGAGAAGGAATGTGAGAATTGACTGGTTGGAAGCTACCTATTTTAGCAAGAGAGGAGACACAAACAAGCCTGTCTCCCTGAAATAGCAGCATGGTAGTGTGAAAACCAGCTTTGCAGTCAAACCTGGATTAAAATCCCAGGGTATCAGGGGTCTGACCCCAGGCAAATTATTACCATCTCTCTGAAACCCAGTTTCCCCATCAATAAAACGGGCATCATATTTACCTTTATTTTTCAAGCCAGAAAAAAACAGAATGACATTAAAGAAATATGTGAGATACCCACCTTGCCCAGCCATGACAAATAAAGATGAGGTGAAAAACAAAATGTACAGAAAACTCCAAACACAGTCTCTAGGCCCATAGTAGGCATGACATAGATGCTGATTCCTTTTTCTTTCCCATCCCAATTCACCCTCTCTTTCTGCTATCCCCTCACCCTGGAAGGAGTGGGGAGAGGCAAGATGGACTATTGCCATGGTTATTAAGTTCTTTCCTTCCTTGCTAATCCATCTAGGGTTCAATCCACAGATTTGGAAGAACAAGGCACAGGACAAAAGATTGAGCCAAGACCGAGGAGGAAACCTGTGCCTAAAGACCGGCCAGTACAGGAAGCACTGTCAGCTTGGTTCACGTCTGGGAAATGGCTTCACGTTGGCCTGTGATTTTGCCGCCCATTGGGTCTCCTCCTATCTCCTCCAGGACCTGTCCCTCATCAATCATTCCTTCTCGCTTCTGTGTCTTCAACCTCTTCTTTACTGTTTCCTCCTTGGCCAAGAAGTATGTTCAAGTCTGTCCTATTTTAAAAAGACCTCCCGCCACCCCCCGGAAAACCTCCTTCAATTATCTGCCTCCCTTTGAGCTACTTCCGCCCCATCAATCTCCTTCCTTTCATATCCAAGCATCAAAACTGAGAGGTGCGCCTCATTATCATCATTTGTTCATAAGAGTGGCTTTCAGCAACACAGCTCTATTTTCTCCGTGCATTTCTGGAAAATGAAACAAAACAAAACTTACCTCTCTGCATACCGAATTAGTGGCTAGTGAGTTCTGCTCATGTTTCCCAGATTTTTATTGCAGGTCAGTGCACTCAACCACTGGAGGCACAGAAAGTCAAGAGGAGCGTAGTCTTCCTTCTGACGGAGAGAACTTCTCCAAGTCTCCCTCTCAATGGCTATCATACTTGGTGGGCAAAAACTGAGACATGTCCTTTGAGTCATATAGAAAAAACAAGAGCCTTGAAGTGACCAATGTATCTTGGCACCACCTGGTGGCAACCTACATAAACTGAAGTAGCTCTTGTGAGAAGTCCATTTAGGAATTGAAGCTGTGAAAATGGCAACTAAAACGTTGCGGGTAAAAGGCTTGCTCACTGAAGAAAGCAAACCTCGAGTGCACAAAAAGATACGTCAGTGCATGGAATCAGAGCGTTGTTGGGGATATTGTGAAGGCCCAAGAATCTGCATTTCATAACAGCCCTCTGGGGCCTATATCTCTGGGGTCACCCACTTCGGGAAGGGGCTCAGGTGTAATATCTTTCTTCCAGTGATAATGCCCTTTAGATTGAGGGCAAGGTTGCCATTCATTCTCCAGATTCCATCATCCTATCGTTTCATACATTGAGATCCCACTCATGCAGGGCTTGCAACGAGGTCCTGAGACTTACTTTAGAGACACGATATACAGCTGTTCCACAGAGAACCATAGTAACTATTAAGAGATGGTAAAAGGGGCGCCTGGGTGGCGCAGTCGGTTAAGCGTCCGA